TGGCTGACGTGCTGCTAGACTGACGTACTGACGCGCTGTCTGGCTGACGGCGAACGTGTATGGCGAACGTGCGGTTAGACTGACGTGCTGCTCGGCTCACGTGCTGACGTGTTGCCCGGCTGATGCTCCGATCGGCTGACGCGTCGCTTGGCTGTCACGCCGCTTGGCTGACGTGCTGTATGGCTGACGTGCTGTATGGCTGACGTGCTGTATGGCTGACGTGCTGCCCAGGGTCATTAGCACACGAAAGCCAGCGGCGGCCAACATGTCGCACGTGTAATTTGGGGAACCCCAGAGAATGTGGCCACCGGGTCCTAATTATCTAGTCCCGCGCCAATTCAATCGAGAGAGAGAGAGAAGTTTCTATGGGCGCCTCACTGCCAATAGCGACATATAGACCAGAGATCCGGTAATATATCAGGAACATGGAGCCCTAATTCCACATTCTCATGTTCTGTGTTATCGTTCACCTCCTGGCTTATCTTGCCGCTCCCTCGGCCACATCCCGAATGAGTTTTACGTTAAATATTTCCCCGAAGAGTAGTAAAATTTAGTAGTAAATTTAGTTACGATATAATTTCAAGCATGAATCCGAAGCAGATATTTTGACTACCAACTGTAAAGGCAAAACTTTTCTTTAATTAACGTTCACGGGTCTCAAGTCGATTAATAATGACATATGTTTACGACGAAAATATCATGAAACACGCAGCCACTTTATGAAAACTTTGATGAAAAATACAAACTCACCGACAATTATTACTCAGGTAGCTGATGACGTCACTCGAGGTATAGATGAGATTCCGACAAAAGAAGAACGGCAGGTGGACTATACCTTAGAAATAATTCATGTTTTAATATAATTCGCATCTTTGTTAGTTAAAGACCTTCATAATAAATCTCCCTAACACAAGAACAACAATTTAAACAATAATAATAAATTAAGAGAAAGAAATTGATTATATTCCCACTATTGCGTCGCCAAATATGTACATTAATTACCACAATTTTCCCACTACCTGTGTATATGTTTACAGTAATATATCTCAGGTAAGTAATATATGAGTGTGTGGTCATGGGGGGGGCGGTAGGAACGACGGTGATGATGCCTCAGGTGTAAGTATAGGATTGAATACCATATTATTGGTGTGTTCATTATTTTGTTATAGCTGTAATAAAGTCTTTAATTCTTATATATATCTATAACATTGATGATGCATAAAGCGGGAACTATAACTGTTCTGTAAGTATCCAGACGTATATTTAACTCGATCTTGTTCAGGCATTTTGGGCCGTTACCGTATGTATGTATGTATGTATGTATGTATGTATGTATGTATGTGTGTATGTGTGTGTGTGTTTTGGGTGAGGTTCTCTATAAACGGGTTTCATCCAGCTTACATAATTCTGGGAGAGAAACACCTGAATCTCTCCATGTTACAAATATTACTTACAATAACAATTAGAAAAACGAGTGAGTCAGCTGGAGGTGTTCTTTTTCTGTACATTAAGAGGAGTTATTAATGTGCGAATGTTGAGGCCAGAGGGATGTGGAGGTCAAAGGGACGTGGAGGTCAAAGGGACGTGGAGGTCAAGGGGACGTGGTCAAGGGCCGTGGAGCAGGGTACGTGGAGGCCACAGGACGGTGGAGGTCGAAGGGATGTGGAGGCCAGGAGGACGTGGATGTCAGGGACGTAGAGAGCAGGACGAGGAGGCCAGGGGGACGTGGTCAAGGGGCGTGGAAGCCAGGGGAACGTGGAGGCCAGGGGACGTGGAGGCCAGGGAACGTGGAGGCCAGGGGACGTGGAAGCCAGAGAGACATGAAGGCTTGGGGAACGTTGAGGGCAGGGAACGTGGAAGCCAGAGGGACATGAAAGGCAGGGACGTGGAGGCCAGGGGACGTGGAGGGCAGGGGACGTGGAGGCCTGTAAATTAACAAAGCGAATTCAAGCCCACACTCGGTGACCTCTCACATGAACTAACGAGAACATGCAGGTAGGTAGGCAGGGAAGCACACACACACACACACACACACACACACACACACACACACACACACACACACACACACACACACACACACACACACACACACACACACACACACACACACACACACACACACACACACACACACACACACACACACACACACACACACACACACACACACACACACACACACACACACACACACACACACACGATAAGACTGTGTTATGACTCACTCAACTTCTCAATCAGGCGGACAGATGAGGACAGAGGTGGGTTACAATTATCTATTCATCTACCCTTCCCAAAATCCATCTATCCAACAAGATAATATCTACTCATCCCTTCAACTATTCATCCGCCCCTCTAACGATCCACCTCGACATTCTCCCATCCCAACCATCCTTCTATCCACTTTCCCCATCTATCTATCTATCTATCTATCTATCTATCTACCCATCTTCTCACGCCCCCTACGCTGGACACCGGACACCACCGCAAATTGACCGTCTACAATCTGTCACCCTCCCCTCCTGTCTGCTGTCCCTCCTCCTCCTCCTCTTCCTTCTTAACTAGCCACCTGCTGTCACCACCCTCGAACCCGTGTCCTCACTTTTCACATCACAAGACTAATATCCTCAGCCACCTACGGTATGCAAGGTGGACTGACAGCGGTGGAACTCAAGATGGGGCTGAAATAGGCTACTCTACCGTATAACCAAAAGATTACCTATTTATTCTCACCGTTAGTATACTCTTTATTCTTTTTCCCTCATTTACGTAATTATTTCAAATCTTTGTTTAACACTTTATTTTCGCTTCTTTATTGCTATTTTTCATCCCCTCATTCTTTTTATTTATCATTGCCACTTCATCTCTCCTTCGTCTCTCTCGTATGTACTCTCTACGTTCGCATTTTCGCTTTACTGTTTACTTCCTTCTCTGTCTAATTACGATTCTTCTCACTCTTCCTCCTCTTCTTACCTTCTTATATTCCACTTCTCCATATTTAATTTCATCTCTCGTTCATTCTCCGTCCTTCCTTCCTGCCTATCCCACTCACCCTCTCTTCCTCCCTCTCCCTCCCTGCCTGCACCATTAACCCCTCTCACCTATCACCGAGGGGGACACTGAAGTAGGGGGGGTGGCTGGGTGTACGGTCCCCACGGGTGTCTCTGAGGCCTTTCTTCTTCCTCATCTACGAAATCCCATCCAGTTTCAACCCATCAAGTATAACATGTCCGTAACACGATCCACACTGCCAGACTCCCCACTCCCACTCCCCACTCCCCCTCACCACCTCCTCCTCTTCTCCTCTCCTCATCAGCACCCACCACAGCCAGCCAACCTCACACCATGCACCAAGAGTCTCACTCCGATTGGCTGCAAATCGACCACTCACGTCCGTTACTAAATCTTAGGAGAGCGTTCATTTGGTCTATCTTCCGCGGTTTGTAATCAGATGCTCCCCCCTTGGTAGGACTGGACGTAGGGGCATCCAATTAGCTTGCAGGATTTACATGAGACAAGTACGACACGAGTATTCCTAGAGCGTTGATTGGATGCCCACGGGAACAGAAGCAATCAATCAACTTTATTTAAAAAAAAAAAAAATGTTCAGCGGTGCGCCAACTAACTATCCTCTGAAACATTATTTACCCTGATAGTTGTTTCCAATACACAATTTCAGTAATTAAAACGGCCTCAAACTTTTGTTACACGAGTGAAATTAATCAAATACCGCCTGTGTATTGGAGCTGTCACTTACTGGCACCAGTGAACCGACAGCTGCGTGTCTTGGTGTTCTTATGCCCGTGTGTGTGTGTGTGTGTAAGTAAGTGAGAGAGTGAGTGAGTCAGTGAGTCAGTGAATAATTGAGTGAGAATGTAAGTCAGTGAGTGGGTGAGTGAGTGAGTGAGTGAGTGAGTGCCATCTTACATCACATAAAATCAGACAAAAGGTTCACAATATCAACGTGACATAATAATTCCCCGGTTCCTTAAGGCTAAGCAATAAAGAAAGTGATAATCATCGGTTGGTTTCCTCACACAGTAAACTGCTCGACCCTCACACACACACACACACACACACACACAAATTGGAGGCTTCAAACAATGTCTTACTACAATTAACTTGGATAACATCAGTATGTAAATTTATAGGACAGTGTGGCGTATAAAGCATATCAGTGACTCTCTCTCTCTCTCTCACACACACACGAAAGACATGCCACCCCCCAAAAAATATATATTGCCCAGCCACAAAGCGACAGATCTCTACCATCAATTTAATTCGACTTTAGTTTAGAAAAGACCAAAGGGGGTGTTAAGTTATGCTTCCCATATTTAAAAAAATAAAATAAAAAATAAGGACGTATTTTTTAGATAAAGATACGCCATATTTAGGGGGTGGGGATGGGGTGGGGATGGGGTGGGGATGGGTGGGGTGGGGGGTGGTGATGGGATGGGGGTGGGGATGGGGTGGGGGTGGGGATGGGGTGGGGATGGGGTGGGGATTGGGTGTGGGTGGGCTAGATGGTGGGGGAGCAGAGAGTTTAAAAGTACAGAGTGGAGGAGAGAGAATGTTGCAGACTCTGGATCCCGTCACTATAACCTGACACCACCCCCACTGGCTTGGTCACCCGATAGGAAAAGACCTTCTGTCGGTGGGCTCCATTAACACTGATTCTGACACCTAATACCCCTCTGTCCCGACAAGATTCTAGCACATAAGACTCTTCGGTCCCGACAAGATTCTAACACCTAATACTCCTCCATCCCGACAAGAGTCTAACACAATAGACTCTTAGGTCCCGACAAGATTCTAACGCCTAATACTCCTCCATCCCGACAAGATTCTAACATATTAAACTCTTAGGTCCCGACAAGATTCATACACATAATACTCCTCCATCCCGACAGGATTCTGATACATAATAATCTTGGGCCCCGACAAGCCACACGAGTTGAGGGAAATAGACTTAGAACTGGCGAGGTTGATTGACTTACCGTAGAAGGTGTCACGGTGAGAGGTGAGGGCGGCGTGGAGGCTGTCAGCTGTGGACTTGACCACTTGACTGAGGGAATCACGGCCAGCCTCAAGCATCACCTCCGTCACCGCCGGCACACAACACGCCCCGCCTCCACACACCTCCGATCCTGAAACACAAAATACACAAGTTAGTTAATTAATGAGTGAGTCAATGTGTTTATATATAGGTTCTGTCTCTCTTACCACCTCCCTTAGGCCAACCTCAGGCCTCAAAACACAACACAATACAGTTATTTAGGTACACACACACACACACACACACACACACACACACACACACACACACACACACACACACACACACACACACACACACACACACACACACACACACAACTCTGGCCCCAAACACAAAACAACACATACGTTAGTTCCTCTGCAACACATACACTTTGTTACCTGCGAGAGAGAGAGAGAGAGAGAGAGAGAGAGAGAGATATTCAGACTTGTAAGCGAGTGTGTGAGGAGGAAGAGGGGGTGAAGGACCCCCCACCCAATCTACCTCCACCACCTTAAAAGTTTGGTTTGATGATGATGGTGACGACGACGAAGAATATGAAGATGATGATGATGGTAATGATGGCGATGGTGAAAAAAGCGTAGAAGTGAGGCTAAAAAGGACTTGAGGCAGACTTAATATAGACAGACAGACAGACAGACAGACAGACAGACAGACAGACATAAATAAATACTGCTTTTTCCTCCTCCACCACCATCACCTCTCCTCCTCTTTTTCCTCCATCATCATTATCCTCCTCCTCCTCCTCCTCCTCTTCTTCAGTGAGTGAGTGAAAGAGGGAACCAAGTAACACAGAGTGAGTAAAGGAGTATGTGCATGAATGAGATTGAGTGAGTGAATGAGTAAGAGTGAATGAGTAAGAGTGAGTAATTAAGAGTAAGTGAGAATGAGTGTGAACAGGTGGGTGGGGCTAACGGAGCAACACACAGGAACATTAAGGAACTATGTTAGGTTAAAGTTCCGTCTCCCACAGCACCAGAGGAAGACACCGGCATCCTTGAGACAGGAACACCGGGAGAAAAGTTCCTTGGAGAGAGAGAGAGAGAGAGAGAGAGAGAGAGAGAGAGAGAGAGAGAGAGAGAGAGAGAGAGAGAGAGAGAGAGAGAGAGAGAGAGAGAGAGAGAGAGAGAGAGAGAGAGAGAGAGAGAGAGAGATTGATACTTATTCTGGAAAAAAATTCTTGTGTGTGTGTGTGTGTGTGTGTGTGTGTGTGTGTGTGTGTGTGTGTGTGCGCGTGTGAGGTCAACAGGGTCCTTGTGTCAACCTCTCCTACACACACACACACACGGTGAGAGCCATCTACTCTCCCATTATCCTCTCTACTCTAATCCTTACCCCCTCTCCTCCACCTCCTCTCCCACTTCTCCTCCTGTTCACTTTGTCACCGCTGTTTCCCCTTTAATACAGTAGTTGGGGAGGGTTATTTGTGTGCATGGGGTACATAAAGAATTACTCTTTGAATTATGTTAGTGGTACATCTGAGATAATGACGTTTAAATTTAACATATATAGTTCTGGAGAAAAGAATACGACCATCTAGAGTCTGATAAAAGAGAATTTCTACACTATCCTCAACGTATAAATGTAAATGTCAAAAAAGCCTGAGTGGAAAAAGTTCAAAATTTGAAATATGTTAAATTTAAACGTCATTATCTCAGCTGCTGTATTATTTGCTCTTCGTAGTCAACACCATCGCTTATTATTATTGTTATTATTATTATTATTATTATTATTATTATTATTATTATTATTATCTACAATTCTTCAGGTATTCCCTACAGACTCCAACAGGACCCTCCATAGATTTCCAGGTTCTCCACAGGTCACTTACGTATGGTAATGCGACCAGTCACTCAGGTATGGTACTGCGACCAGTCAGTTGGGTATGCGACCAGTCACTCAGGTATGGTACTGCGACCAGTCAGTTGGGTATGGTACTGCGACCAGTCACTCAGGTATGGTACTGCGACCAGTCACTCAGGTATGGTACGGCGACCAGTCACTCAGGTATAGTACGGCGACCAGTTACTCAGGTATGGTAATGCGACCAGTCACTTAGGTATGGTACGGCGACCAGTCACTTAGGTATAGTACGGCGACCAGTCACTCAGGTATAGTACGGCGACCAGTCACTCAGGTATGGTACGGGGACCAGTCACTCAGGTATGGCACTGCGACCAGTCACCAGGTATGGTACGGCGACCAGTCACTTCCAGGTATGGTGCTGCGACCAGCTACCAGGTATGGTAATTTCTGCGACCAGTCACTCAGGTATGGTACAGGACCAATCACTCAGGTATGGTACGGCGACCAGTCACTCAGGTATGGTACTGCGACCACGTCACTCAGGTATGGCACGTGCTGACCAGTCACTCAGGTATGGTACGGCGACCAGTCACCAGGTATGGCATGTGCTGACCAGTCACTCAGGCAAGTTACGTGTGACCAGCCACCAGGTAAATTACATGTCGATGAGTCACTTGGTAAAGCACGTGCTGGCCAGCTCACCAGGACCAGTCACTCAGGTATGGTACGTGTTGACCAGTCACTCAGGCAAGTTACGTGTGGACCAGTCACTCAGGTAAATTACATGTCGATGAGTCACTTGGTAAAGCACGTGTTGTCCAGTCACTCAGGCAAGTTACGTGTAGACCAGTCAATCAGGTTAGTTACGTGTTGACCAGTCACTCAGGTAAGTTACGTGTGTCGACCAGTCACTCAGGTAAGTTACGTGTGGACCAGTCACTCAGGTAAGTTACATATTGATCAGTCACTTTGGTAAAGCACGTGTTGACCAGTCACTCAGGTAAGTTACTGTACGTGTTGACCAGTCACTCAGGTAAGTTACTGTACGTGTCGACCAGTCACTCAGGAATAAGTTACGTGTCGACCAGTCTCTCCCTACAAAACCTCATTCCAGGGTAGAGTCTCGCCCTCACCTGTTTATTCGAGGTTTAACGTGATCACAGGCTAGCGACTCTCACAGCCCCGACGACCAATGCCACTACCGACCACAACACACCTCGCTACATGCTTTTTCTGCCTCTTCTTGTTTTTGTTACTGCTATTGGCACGCTGTTACGGTCACCCCTACGGCAGCCACCACTTGATTTCGTGTTATTTGTAGCTTTTACTTCCGCGAGTACCAATACTACTACTATTACTACTACGACTAGTAATACTACAACAACAACAACAACTACTACTACTACTACTACTACTACTACTACTACTACTACTACTACTACTTCCACTGCTACTACTACTACTACTACCATTAGCACTACTACTACCACTACTACTACTATTACCACTACTACTACTCCTACTATTACTAATACTATTATTATTACCACTACTACTCTTATTACTACTATTACCACCACTACTACTACCAGTATTGCCACCACCACTACTAGTACTACTACTACTACTAATATCACTACTACCACTGCTGCTCCGCCTGTGTCCTTGTTACTGCCGTCGCTACTACTACCTCTGGCAAGGCCACCGTCTGTCTTCCTGCTGCCCTCACCACCGTCACCCATACCAGAGCCAATGTTACTGTTCTGGCCACCATCCTTGTCGGGGCCACCATCCCTGTCGAGGCCACCATCCCTGTCGGGGCCTCCATCCCTGCCGGGGCCACCATCCTTGTCGGGGCCACCATCCTTGTCGGGGCCACCATCCCTGTCGGGGCCCAACATCACCGCCACACCACCCTCACTATCTCAGGTAATGCTCGAGACAGTCATTTGTTTACCTACCTTGATACTCTTTAAGCAAATCAAAATAAAATACTACGAGGAGACACACACACACACACACTACATCCTTGACCACCGAAGGGTCAAGACGTACCTGGCGCTCCTCTAGGAGCAGCCAGGTCAACTGTTAAGTTGGGCCATACCAACCCCCTCCCCTGAACCACTTCTCCCCACCGGAGTATCAACAGGTTCTCGCCAGAAGTTACAATTTCATTTGGGAAAGGAATGGAACCAGTGTTAAACAGAGGTGAACATTGGTGAACAGTGCTTGAGTCAGTGAGAACAACTCAACAGTAAAAGTCGTATTCAAGTTAACCTTCACACAGTGAGGTCCCAGGTACCCAGTGATAACGGCCCATGAGACCCAACAACCGGCGATGTGTTAATCCGTCTACGATAGGAAGGCCTGGGGCCACACCTCTCTCATATAACACCATCTGTGAGGGAATTACTACACCACGTCATGTCCCTCATAACACCATCTGTGAGGGAATTACTACACCACGTGATGCCCCTCATAACACCATCTGTGAGGGAGTTACTACACCACGTCAAGTCCCTCATAAACACCATCTGTGAGGGAATTACTACACCACGTGAGGCCCCTCGTAACACCATCTATGAGGGAACTACTACACCACGTGAGGCCCCTCATAACACCATCTGTGAGGGAATTACTACACGTGAGGCCCCTCATAACACCATCTGTGAGGGAATTACTACACCACATCAGGTCCCTCCTAACACCATCTGGGAGAGAGTTACTACACTACGTGTTTGCTGTTCAACACCTACATTAATCTGAATGTTCACTGTATGTTCCTTTACCTTTCTCTAATGAAGGCTTTTGTTAAACCACCAATGTATGTAATAAGTCATTTATGTCCAATGTATATTTTCAGCCTTCGGGCTGCAGAACTTTTTCAATAAACCGTTAATTATTATTATTATTATTATTATTATTATTATTATTATTATTATTATTATTATTATTATTATTATTATTATTATTATTACACACACACACACACACGACTATGAACACAACACCACGACCTGTTTATTTCCTCGCCGCCGCCACACACCTAAGCGAGTGAGACTTCTGAGCTGTCGCAGGGGTAACAACTTAATCAGTCAGGTCGTTAATGCTTGTACACCGCAGCCGAGACCAGGTCATCCCCACGTGCCTGAGTCAATCTTGGGCAAATTCTCCTTAAAGACGGAAATGTTCTACTAGTTGTGTGGATATTGGAGGAGGTGTGTGGATACTGGTGCTGTGGATATTGGTGGATGTGTGTGGATACTGGTGGAGGTATGTGGATACTGGGAGGAGTGGATATTGGAGGTGTGTGGATATTGGTGGGGTGTGGATATTGGTGGGGTGTGGATATTGGTGGTGTGTGGACATTAGTGGTGGTGTGCGGATGCTAGTGAGTGTGGATACTGGTGGAGGTGTGGATACTGATGGAGTGGATATTGGTGGAAGTGTGTGGATAATGATGATGTGTGGATATTGGTGGAGGTGTGTGGATACTGGTGGATGTGTGTAGATACTGGTGGAAGTGTGTGGATACTGCCGTTGGTGTGTGGATACTATTGGCTGTGTGGGACAATGGTTAAGGTGTGTGAATACTGGTGGAGGTGTGTGGATACTGGTGGATGTGTGTGATAGTGGTTAAAGTGTGTGGATATTGCTGAATATGTGATACAGTGGTTAAGGTGTGTGGATACTAGTGGAGGTGTGTGGATACTGGTGGAGGTATGTGGATACTGGTGGAGGTGTGTGGATACTGGTGGAGGTGTGTGGATACTGGTGGATGTATGTGGATACTGGTGGGCGCTTAGTGGTGGAGATAGGCAAGAGGACAGTGGAGGACGGTGGAGATAGGTAGAGAACAGTGGAGGACGGTGGAGATAGGTAGGGAACAGTGGAGGACGCAGGAGATAGGTAGAGAACAGTGGAGGACGGTGGAGATAGGTAGAGAACAGTGGAGGACGGTGGAGATAGGTAGGGGAAACAGTGGAGGACGGTGGAGATAGGTAGAGAACAGTGGAGGACGGTGGAGATAGGTAGAGAACAGTGGAGGACGGTGGAGATAGGTAGAGAACAGTGGAGGACGGTGGAGATAGGTAGAGAACAGTGGAGGACGGTGGAGATAGGTAGAGAACAGTGGAGGACGGTGGAGATAGGTAGAGAACAGTGGAGGAAGGTGGAAGACCCAAGGTGGAGGCACCAGGAAGGTTGGCACTCTCTGTGAACTAATTAAGTACCCGAGCCGGAGGTGTGTGAGTGTCTGTGTGCCAAGGTCGTGTGTGTGTGTGTGTGTGTGTGTGTGTGTGTGTGTGTGTGTGTGTGTGTGTGTGTGTGTGTCCTCACCCCAGCTGGTACAGTCTCACCTCCGCTGGTACTTCCTCATCCCAGCTGATATTTCCTCACCCCCACTCAGCACTGTCTCACCCCAGCTGGCACAGTCTCATCCCAGCTGGCACTCCTTATCTCAGTTGGTGCCTGCCATCCCAGCTGGTACTGTTTCACCCCAGCTGGCACTGTCTCACCCCAGCTGATATTTCTCACCCCACTAGCACTGTCTCACCCCAGCTGGCACTGTCTCACCCCAGCTGGCACTTCCTTATCTCAGTTGGTACTGCCATCCCAGGTGACACTGCCTCACCCCAGCTGGCACTGTCTCACCCCAGCTGATATTTCCTCACCCCACTAGCACTGTCTCACCCCAGCCGGCACTTCCCTTATCTCAGCTGGTACTGCCATCCCAGGTGACACTGTCTCACCCCAGCTGGCACCTGTCTCACCCCAGCTGATATTTCCTCACCCCACTAGCACTGTCTCACCCCAGCTGGCACTTCCTTATCTCAGTTGGTACTGCCATTCCAGCTGGTACTGTTTCACCCCAGCTGGTACTGTCTCACCCCAGCTGATATTTCCTCACCCCAGCTGATATTTCCTCACCCCACTAGCACTGTCTCACCCCAGCTGGCACTGTCTCTCGTCAGCTGGTAAATCCGGCACTGCAACTAATTGGCTTACCTTTCATGTTTTTCATGTTTCATATATTTAATCATCTCTCTCTCTCTCTTTTCACACACACACACACACACACACACACACACACACACACACACACACACACACACTCACTTCTTCTTCTCCCTCTCTCTCTCCTTCCAATCCCACTAAGGTTATAAAAGACACGCTTCGCAGATATTGCAAAACAAAAATTGCTAAAGTGAAATTCATAAAATTTTCCTCCAGGCTCTTGAGAAAAATGGCCTTGCAACATCTCTCGTTAGCGGTGAGAGAGAGAGAGAGAGAGAGAGAGAGAGAGAGAGAGAGAGAGAGAGAGAGAGAGAGAGAGAGAGTTATGACAGAATACAAAAGTTAAAAGATAGTTGAATTCAAAATAGTTAAACACTGAAGTCAACAAGTTGTTAAGAAACTACATCATAATCAAGATTAAATTCACTAACGTGGAATTCAACAGGAGGTAATTTTTAAAAGAAATGGAATTAATCAGAAAAGTTGAGATTGAATTATAAAATACCAAAACTGAATTCAAAACATAAAAAAATTAACTCATCTTCCACATTTGAATTCTACTGTAAAATCCTCTTAGGCCGCTTGCATACACACGTTGTATGAGTGTATTAAAAGAGCTTGTAAGTATTGCTGGTCAAGTATAAGTGTATACGGGAAAAGGACATAATTCATACTGATTTGTATGAATGTTTAGGCAGCAGGTATGAAATATGAATGTACAATATATACATCACCCATACAGAGGTTGTATGAATGTATTATACAACGATCACATTAACTCCACGCATAGATGCAGAAAATACACACACCATAGTCAGGCATACACAAATATGTTACAGTCATACACACTAAAGCCATACACACTACTTCGCGAATATATGTTTGAATTAATGATATCTGGTCATAAAGCTGCGTTAGTGAGGGCTGGTCATGAAATTCTCTGTCAGTCAGTCAGTCAGTCAAGCTGTTAACTGAGAGGATCTCCTCCTTCAGTTACACCCTCGTCCTCGACCTGAGAAACTCCAAGTCATCAGTAGAGTGGTACCTCCCTCCCTCCCTCCCTCCTCCCCCCTCCCTCCCTCCCCCTCCCTCCGCCTCTTCTATTCCCCTTCTCTCTTAGTCCTACTTTCCTCCTCCTCCTCCTCCTCCTCCTCCTCCTCCTCCTGCTGCTGTCCCTGCTCCTCCTTCTCCTCCTCCTGTTCCTATACCTGCTGCGCCTCCTCCTCCTGCCCATCCTCCTCCTGCTGTACCTGTCCCCTCTCCTCCTCAACAGTGACCAAAATCGATGGCGGGTTTTCATCCACTGTCTATAAAGGAACTTACGCATGAAGTCACCTCGTAAATCGACCAACACAACTTACGATATGGTGTGGAAGCCGTTTATCTAGACCAACTGACAGACGGATGGACGGACAGACGGATGGACGGACAGACGGATGGACAGACAGACGGACAAGAGGGGAAAAGAGATATTACTGTACGTATTAGTGTGTATGTGTGTGTACAACAGCAAGTGTGTGTAGAGGTCGGGGGGTAGGGGAAGGGGAACGGATATGGGGCGGGGGAAGGATATGGGGCTGGGGAAGGGGTATGGGTAGGGGGAAGGGGTATGGGGCTCGGGAAGGGATATGGGGCGGGGGGTAGAGGATGGGGTGGAGGGTAGAAGAGGGGGGTGTCTGGGAGGGTGTGTAGAAAGATGGTTGCCGTACTAAGGATCACACTCCTCAAGTAGTCTAGTCTGTACACAGCTCAATGATGATGCAACACCAACACCAACAATACTATACTCACCAACAGTACCACAACCACACCACCACCACCACCACCACCAACGGTACAACCACCAACGGTACAACCACCACCAACGGTACCACCACCAACGGTA